GTCTCTTTTTCGATAGTAGGGGTGTCAGGTTCAGGCTCTACTCTCTACAAGGACAAGCTCTTTACATGGCCAGCCTTAAAGGAACTGGTTTTGATTTTTAAAAGGGAGATGGTCATTTCTTTAGATTTTTTTCTACATTTGATTGTAAGCTCCTTGAGGACATGCTTTGTTTTTTTCCTCTCAGTGTCCAGGAGGTAGTAGAACCTCCCATAAATGTTAGTTAAGTAAATGGATGAATGTATATAAGGCACTGAGATATACACACTATGGTCAAGGAGTTTACAATTCAGTTATGGTGATCAAATTGCATACACAAAAGCACTGTAGTTTACATGAAAGAGCTGTGAAAGGCTATTTAATTACAGAGGACGGAGAAATTTCTTCCAGTGTGGGGTTCTCCAGGTTGGGACAGACTTTGTGGAGGAGAAAACATACGGCTAGGCCTTGAGGGCTGGGGAGAATTTCTACAAATAGGATGAGTAAGAGATGAACGCTTGCCAAGTAGAGGGATCTGTGAGAACAAAGACACAGAAGGCAGGCATGCTATTTCTTTATTCGTGACTAGTCTGATGTAAGGGCAGTATCCATAGACAGAGGAGGAAATGTCAAAGCTGGAGAGGTGTGTTGGAGCTCACTGCAGAGCTCTTTAAAATGTCTTTTTCAATAAGCAAGGCCTCTCTCGTCTCAGACCAAATGGAGGAGGAGCAGGAGGAGGAGGAAGAGGAGGAGGAGGAAGAGGAACAGGAGGAGTTGTTAATCAGTCCCAAGGAATCCTGATAGCTGGGATTGGCTTTTCATGGTAGAAAAACTTCTCAGCAGTGAGATGTTAAACTATAGGATGGTTTGTCAATGGCAGCTTTAGAAAAGTCTTTTCTAGAAATTTTTTACACATAAAAATAGACTTTCCATTTGTCAATGATTTTCTGCAGTCTCTCTTAAAACCATGAGAATGTATTATACCAGGAGTCCCTAACCCGCAGGCAGTAGACTATATGGGTCTGTGGCCCGTTAGGAGCCAGCCACACAACAGAAGGTGACTGGCGGGCAACCGAGCTGAAGCTTCATCTGTATTTGCAGCAGCTCCCCAGAGCTAGCGTCACCACCTCAGCTCCATCTCAGATCATCAGGTATTAGATTTTGATAGGAGCATCAGTCTCTAGTGCCAAAAGGTTGGGGACTGCTGTACTATACAAACTCTCCAATTCTATATTGTTCAATTCAACTCAACAAATATTTGAGTGTCAACTTGGCATTGCTTTGACTGAATTCATACCATCTCTCCCTGCCCTCACTGTTCCTCTCTGCCAGTAATCCCCATCTCAACAAATGACACTTTCATCCACACAGTTGCCTAAATTAGAAACCAAGGAATAATCTCTGATTCCTCATTCTCCCTCACCACTCACCTTTAGTTAATCCCCAATCCCTATCGTTCTACCTGCAAAACACCTCTGGAATCTGTCCATTTCTCTTAAATCTCCCATCCTGGTTATAGTCTCTAGCATCTCTCATGTTGATTAATGCAATAGTCTAAATGATCTCCCTGCTGCCAAGCTTGACCTTCTCCAACCCGTCCCACACTCATGGTCTTTCTGAAACATAAATCTGAAAGCACTTCACTCTCCTACTTAACATTTCTTCATCGGGCTCCCAGGCTTATGAGAGAAGCAGGAGGTCTGTGTGCACTCTGAGTCAGACTGCTTCAATCTTCCGGTGTGGTCAAAGTCCAGCTCAGCTACTTACTTGCTTACTTGACTTTTGGCAAGTTACCTAAGCACTCACTGCAGTTTTCTCATCTATAAAAAGGGGATTATAACAGTAATTTCTTTTAGGAGCATTGGGAAGATTAAAGGAATCTGGATCTTCCTCTCCTCTATAAACTGAAATTTGGAGTGTCCCACACTCCCTTAGTCATCTCAGCAGGTCTCGTGGCTTTAAATATCCATATACTGATAACTCCCGAATTTACATCTGCAGCTCAGCCCTCTGTCCAGAATCCTAGGCTCATATATATCCAGCTGCCTTCTCAACATCTCTACTTGGGTGGCTAATAGAGCTACAGATATATTAAACTTAATGTGTCCAAGACCGAATTCCTGATTTTTTCCCTTCAAACCTGCTTCATCCATAGTCCTTTTAATGTCAGTTCATGGAATTAGTTTTCCAGTTGATCAGGCTCAGATGTCCTGCATTTTCCTTTTGTTTCACTCCCCATATCTCATCTATCAGGAAATCCAGCTGGCTCCTCCAAACTGTATACAGAATCTGACTCCCCCTTTCCACTTTCACGGCCACACCCTGCCCAAGCTCATACCTCTCTCACCTAGATTACTGCAGAAGTCCTAACGAGTGTCCTTCCACCCTGGCCCATCTACAGTCTCTTCTCAACCCAGCAGATTGATAAATGTAATCCGGTCCCCATCCTTGACCCTGTAACCTCATCTTTTACTTTACCTCATATTCATTTGACTCCAGCTACACTATCATCCTTTCTGTTCCTGAGACTCTTCAAGCACACTGTGGTCTTAAGGCTTTTGCATTGTCTATTGTCTTTATCGGATATTCCTGTAACTAACTCCCTCTCCTCCAAATCTTTGCTCAAAGTCTTTTCTCAATGAGACTCACTCTCATTACCCCTTTAAAAACTATGTCCCATTCTATGCCCATGCCACCTTGAACAAACCTGATCCTGTCCGATCTTGGAAGCTAAGCAGGGTTGGGTCTGGTTAGTACTTGGATGGGAGACCACCTAGGAAGATCAGGTGCTGTAGGCATAAAAAATAAAAAAAAATAAGGGATTGTAAGATGACAAGGTCCTTGCAATCTGTGAGGTCAACCAAGGGTTGCTTCACCTAAAAAAATAAAATAAAATAAAATAAAAATAAAAACTATGTCCCATGACATTCTGAATCTCTTTTTCCCATTGCACTTACATCCTTCTAATATAATATACTTTACTTGTTGTATTTATTATTATCTGTTTTCCCTCACTGGAATGTAAGCTCTGCTAAGGCAAGAATTTTTGTCTTATGTTCACTGGTATTATATATCCAAGCACTGAAACAGTGCCGGGTATATAGGAGGACTCACTAAATATTTATGAAATTAATGGATATTGCATGGTACATGGTGTTTTATAATTACTAACAATTATTACAAAGCTCACAACCTCCGGGCTCCTATTTGTCTTCCTCATTTCATTTTAGGAAAAAAGAAAAAAAAAGAAAA